TATAACTCAACGGACAGGGAAAACGATTTTGTAGTAAAGAGAAAAAAATACGTGCAGTTATCGTCTTATTGTGATGTTTGATATTTTTTGTGAAAGTCGACGGGCGGAAATTTTGCGACATCGCTGTACTGGTTTATAAAAAATTGGATGAAATGAACAGCCTGTCCCAATGGTAAGTTTTTAAAGGGTTTTCACTTTTCAGTAATATATATATATTTAATTTAATTTTAATTAAAGATGCTGTATTAAAGTCCGTAAATACCATAATTTATTAAACAAACGCTTTGAACGGCTATATTTGTAAAATATGACATATATACGAACTGAATGTATAACACGTTTCTGGTTCTCTACTGAAAATTAATATAAACTGGAGTACGTTTCAATTTTAAAAAGTTCCAAAGATGCAAAATTTTGCAATATTTATATCTGTGGGTCGCTGGGTCCCCCTTTGTTATGAACAGAACTGATGCGCAGAATGGACAAGATACAGCCTAAAGCTCTTCTCTCGAAGCTATACCTCGGTAGAGTGAGTAGACAAATTGGGCTATTCCATTTAATATCTGTACCCCCTGTCGAGAATAAATGTTTGTCATACTGTAGTTATACTTATACCCTTGAAGAATTCCAAGCTCAAAACCCTTCACCCCTGAACTCTGGAGAAACCCGGGGATCCTTGGAATACAAGTCGTTTCGCCCCCAAGTCGGCTCGCCCCAAGTCGTTTCGCCCCCAAGTGCATGGCTAAGTCGATTAGTACGGACCGACCTAAAGGCTAAACGGGCTAAACGTGTTTATTTTTTTATATGATGGTTCATGAGTAATACCAGGATTGAGTCATTTTTGTATCTGCGAAGTAGATATATATGCTATCGCAAACGTGACCGTACTGTTACCGTACCGTATGTTAACACATAGCCATTCAGCGACGAGCTTATATAATTTAAGCAATCTTATATAATTTAAGCCAATCAGCGATTCGTTTACATCAATTGTTTACATCGTACCCGCTGATCTAACCTGCGAACGGGCATACTTTAGCCTCGTCAGGCCTCGTGTATAAA